AAAAACGAAAAAGACAGCTGTTGCTTACGTCATGCCCGCATAACAAATGACCCCCACTTTTCCATGAGCTGCACCTCCTTGCAGTAATTAAATGCAGTGAAAAGAGTTAAGTAATTTTCTGATGTGAATGCTTGCACCACCATTTACGTTATAGCAAGAGCTCTAGAAGCTTGTGATTAGCTGTTGAATTTTGCTTTGCAATCGCGCATGCAGAGCCGTAACCTGCTAACCTATTACAAAAGTGTGAAATTAGAGCTATGTTTCCTAGTTTGCAATGACTTCTCAAAGCAAGTTTACTTAAGTGGCAGGCAGCGGTTTCAGTTAATCATTCCATTATCTGGACCTCTAGAATTGAAGAGGCTCTTCACTCAAGTTTATAATCAAAAATACGGACAACTTCTTCGTTGGTTCGTGTTAATAAACATTCCAGAAAATCTCAGCAGCTAACCACCAACTTCGAAGTTCACATTTCAAATTTTGCCAACAGTTTTCTTGATCTGTTATCTAATAAGTCAAAAGAAGAATCCAAGATCCTGACGTTCTCATTTCATCATTCACCCGTTCACAGAAAAACGGGGAAATTCATTCAATAGGATTGGCGCATTTATAGGGCCAAAAAACGAGAGAAAGGGGGAAGCACTGACCTTGTTTTATGGCATTAAGCAATGGAGGTCCTCCTTTAATGGCAGAAATCCCTGAGAAAGCAAGTCCGAGAACACCGTCTGTTGGGTCCTGCTTTTGAATTTCATTGTTAACGAAACATGTGATTCAAATTGAAAATTACCTCTTTGAAATCCGCAGAGATGTGATTTGCAATGCCAAACGTGCTGTTGGGGATGACAAGTTGTGGTTCGTCTTCTCCTCCAAACTACAACACCCATACGATTATGCAACTATCTTAAACAAAGATACAAGACATTACCCTGACTACATCCTTGGCCTTAACACCTTTTGCGTCCCCTTCACCATACTCAATACGCCATTTTGTTTTATAACCAATAAAGGTGCTTGAAGCATTTTCAGCAAACATGTGTTTGAAATTACAGGATTCACTGAACATGTGTTTGAAATTACAGGAATCACTGAAGTTAAATAGGCATTTAAGATTGATTTTGAGGAATTTTGCCTTCAGTATAACTTAGGCGTGAAAGTGATTACAGATGGGGAGAGTTTCAAAGTAAATCAAGCTGAGAATGCCATTTGTTTTGGAATCTTTCTGTCGAGTAAAGTCGACAGAAATGAGAGTTCTAATATGGCCAAATTTCAGCAATGGAAACATATTTACAAACATCCTTATAAATATCAGACACTAATGTCTAAACGTCAACTTACTCGCATTTAAGACCAGGTACCCATAAGTCTGCGGACCCAGTATCGGGAACTATGACAAACTGTTGTTGGGGTGTTCCAATAGTGATATTTGAGACATACTCGTAGTCACTATAGTCTAATACCTAAAAATCTGATTTCGCAAGTAAGCGTTCAAATCTCAGTTTTCAGGATAAGAAAATTTTGAATGATCTCCTAACCTTGTTGGGATACTTTCGTGGAGCCGTGGCCCGAAGAAGTTCCATCCGTTTCAGGTAATCCTTATACACGCCGCGTTTTATCATATCAAACTGTATAAGTCATCGTCAGATCTTCTCGAATCATAGGCAGGTAAGTGTTATTAAACTTACTCTCCTAGATAATTTCCATGTCAATGGTTGTTTGATGACGATAGCCGTCGCTACACCTATGAGAAAGCAAAGGACTTCAAGTCGCATTTTGATGGCTAATCACTTGATCGCTTTCTAAATGTGTGCAGAAGAATTAACAATGCACCTTCTGGAAATGGATATTCAGGATATCCTATGTAAGAACAGTCGAGCTAGAGGAATACTATAATTGATGACAAAGAACGTGGCCGCACCCATCTACGGCACGTCGAGTAGTATGTTAAAAAAGTGCATGATAAATC